GCCCAGCTTCTACACAGTTCAGGAAGAGAGAATCATGGCAAGATTCTTGACCCCGTTTAATTAGTAATTCATCAAAATACTAAGTATTCTTCTATTCTTGATACTATTGTCGCATTGTTTTGCTCTACTAAATATTTTTCCTTGTCTTCCTCATTCATATTCATTCGTATAATATTGGAATTATCATATTTTAATTAGAAAACGACGCTCCATATTTATTACATAAATACATTATTACAATACAATGAACAGAAGGTAAATTTTCTACCGACAGGTTCTGTTATTAGAAATATATTAAACCTCTTCAGTTCTGAGATATTTTAATCTACTTTATGTAAAGAAAATATATTGCAGATATTGTATTAAACGAATAATGTTAATAATACTAATTAATCCAGTTGCTTTATAAAACAATCACAATTAGATATTAAATTGGTTATGCTAATATATGTCAATTATAAACGATCTATTAATTAACAGAAGAAATTTAAAGATCTCGTGTTTAGTTAAAATTAGCATAAATTCTCTTCTGGGAAAAAAGTAACCAACGGTTTAACAAAAGCCGGAAGCTGATTCGCCCAACTGAAATTATTTAAAATTACACATAATTTAAACAATTAAAATGAAAAAAAAAAAAAACAAAAATATTAAACCAAAATAAAAATTATCAAATTTAGCACGAAACGAACTAAATTTAAAAAGAAATGAAGCACAAGTCTGAAACCGCTGTTTACGCTTCAATAGAAGATACACTGGCACGGCACGCAAACAAAACCCAATGTTACGAAATTTTCATTACAAAAAAGAAGCGATTTTTTCAAAAATTTTGGCAATCAGCTTTATGGAGTCTACTACAAACAACTATCTAACAAAGCGATTAAATAATCAGAAAATTGGCACAACAACTTTAGACTATTGTAGGCACGCAGTCCTATTCATACCTACATACATAGATACAGATTCACAGCACAGATGTGCTGACACCTAGTACCGACATTGTGTGGAGTAGAGATATGGAATTGAAAGCATATGCGATCGCAATCAAACTGATAACGCAGAATAACATTTGTTTCTCTAATAATTATTATTATTTTTGTGATGTTTTGCATTTGAAATTCAGTTCATTCATTAGTCATGAATATAGAATCAATTCATATGAAAAACAAAAATGAATAATATTAAACATTTTGTTAAAAACCGAAAAATCCCCACAAATAATAGTATTTACAATTAAATAAAAGTGATCGAAAGTTAATGAACCTCACTCTTCGGCATAATTATTATATACTATATACTATATGAGAATCAAAAGCATTTTCAGTCATAAAATGCTTATTTGAATAAAACGGAAAAATGTTCTAATGGTAAAAAATGAAATAATAGTGGTATTCACGATCTCGAGTACCAAGGTCGTTACTCAAGATAGTACGTAGTTTAACACAAGTAAAGTGTAATCATCATTAGCTATGAGTACTTTTACTTAATAATAATGGTAATTATATAAACTCTGTGTAAATATGAGCACCTTTGGACTCCCGCAAAACCTCGTTGACACTATGCAGAAGTCAGTGCTCACCGATACCTGTCATATCACCAGAAGTTTCATTACCTTAATTCTCATATACAATATACAAAATATTTTGTTTTAAACTCAGGCTTCCAAAATGTATTTTTTTTACCCATAAAGGAGAAATAAATAAATAGAAATTATATTAATAATAATAATTTTAGTTTAATAATAACTACCAGTATTTTTACTCATTACTAATAATAAAAAATAATAATAATTAACTACAAGGATATTTACTCGTTAATAATAATATCTAGATATGCGTATATCTACTCGTTAATGATAATAAAATAATAAATAATTAAATACAAGTAATTTACTCGTTAATTATGTTACTCGTAATAAAAACTAACTACTAATAATAATCAACTATGCGTACATTTACTCGTTAATGATAATACAATATTAATTATAACTGCAAGCATTTTACTCTTAATTATGTTAACAATAATTAAATACGAGTATTTTTACTCATTGATAATAATACAATAAAAAAATTAACTGCGAATATATTTACTCGTTAATAATAATTATGCGTATTTTTACTCCTCAATAATAATAACTAACTATACGTATATTTACTCGTTAATGATAATACAATAATATTATTTAACTGCAAGCATTTTACTTTTAATTATGTTAACAATAATTAGATGAGTAATTTTACATGTTAAAAATAATACGATAACAAAAATTAACTACGAGTATATTTACTAGTTAATAGTAATAATAATATTAACTTGCGTATTTTTACTCATTAATGATAAAACAATAATATTAATCAACTATGACCATTTTACTCGTTATTGTAATAATAATTAAATATGAGTCTTTCTACAATTTAATAATAAGACAATAATAAAAATTAACTACGAGGATATTTACTCATTATAATAATAATAACTAGCTGTAAGTATATTTACCGGTTAATAATAATACAATGTTATAATAACTATGAGCATCTTACTCGTTAATTATGTTAACAATAATTAACTACGAGTATTCTTACTCGTTGATAAAAATACAATAATAAAAAATAACTACAAGTATATTTACTCGTTAAAAATAATAGTAACTAACTTTGCGTATATTTACTCGTTAATCATATTACAATAATAATAATTAACTACAAGTAAAGTTTTAAACGACAACCAGAACTTTTTTAGTAGTTTTTAGTATGTTTAAATAAACTAGTGTGAAGTAATTATTTTTATTATAATATTACAAATATTTATGACTAGTTTATTCACCTTAAAAGAGCGACCTTCCACCACCAAAGTTATATCGCACAATTGATCATTAGAACGAAGGGCATACAAGCCGCTCTGCAGAACTTCCGCCTGCTGAACTACGAGCTTGAAGTGATTGATATCTCCTTTGTGTCGGTCAGATATCGGTAATTTGCCATTCTTCGCTCTGCTCAGCACACAAACTTGTTTATCCATTCTTAACTTTATTAATTTTAGAAAGCGATCAGTTGTTATTGCTTTTGTTGGTATGCATGTGTGTTCGTACGCTTTGTTCGCCTGATTAAGAAACACACTTTGCTGTTACACTTCGCATTAAATATGTATTTAATTAGCAATAGTAATAGAAAGTTTAATAGAGAGAACACTTGGCAGTTTATAAATATAAAATTCAATAAGATGAATATATTAAATTTGCATTGAATTCCAACAGCCTTTAGCCTCAGCTATTGCAATCACATTCCACCATATGTTCTGACCGCGACGTTTCTTTAGGTTTTTTCTGTGGTGCAATACATTTTCGTATTAATTAATTAGCACAAAGCTTCGCGTTTAAGATACATGCAAAGCCACTTTGAAGTTTTACAGAATTTTTATTAATCAATTAAATTAATTAATTTTTAAATTGACCTTTTCAAGTTATTCACACACACTTTACATATAACAAATTTATTACTTTTCTTTTACTGGATTCGACTTGTTTTACATAAAATATTTTATTATAAACTTCCTTGTGTAGAATGCCAAGTATTCTTTTTTTGTTTAAGTGCTTAAACTGCAATTCTCTTCTTTATTACTGACACACTCCACTCACAACAAACTCACTGACCGATGTATAACAGAATACTGACAATTTAGGCCAACAATATTTTGACTAATAAAGTTGTTGGCATTTAAAAACAAATCGTGATAAAAGTGGAGAAAATGCACAATGTCAGATAAAAAGTGTTGCAATTTATTATTATTATTTTTTTTTTTAAATTCTCTACATTACTTTAAATAAATTTATATATATATAGATTATTTTATTAAATTTTAAATTAATAAAAAAAAATTACTAATTTTACATTTAAGGTGACATTACCTATATAATAAAGTGACGTATCTCATGTTTCAAACTAGGTATTTGAGCTGGTTATTTCGATATGAAGTCACAGCTGGAACGTAGCCAAATTATATATTAAATTATAAGATAAGATTAACAGTAGATTTAAGCAATCATCGGGATTTTCATTTTAATTTAGTTGTTACATTATCCGTAATTTTTTCTTTCAGAGTAGGAAAAAAATAACATTGAGTCTGATTAAAAGAAATTGGCAGTACTTTTAAAATATGTTGAATGCTTTTGTTTGAGATATATTTTTCGTTGTGTCGTGTACAATATGATATGATACGAGCAGCATGAGTTTTTAACAAATTTTCAGCGAACATTTACAATAGACTGATTTTTGTATATAGCCGCACAAAAAATTTAGACTTAAATTTTTTTGCGAGTAAAACCTAATTCTGAGAATTTTAAGAGCATTATTGTTGCTTCACATGTTTCCTTTCGTAAGTTGAGAGTATTTTTTTGCTACTCTAAAAGAAAAAATTACGGCGATTGTAAATTTAGAAACAAAAATCTTGTTTTAGTAAAGGTTAATAAAAAATTTGGTGTGAAATTAAAATTTTCTTACTGTGCAACGCTGCAAATGTCTTAATATCGTAATTTGTTTTACGATATTAAAATGATTGAAAATGAATTGTGAAAAACTTTTCAGAAATAAATATTGAAGAGCGAAATAAAGTGGTAACATTTTAATGTAAACAAGCAACAGCTGAGCTGTAAACAAAATTAGTGGCTTTGAAGTAAGTATTTAATAAAATCTTTATTTTTATTAATTTAATATGGAATCGATATATAAAATGTATATAAATGATTTAATATATCAATTATATATAAAATTTTTTGTGTGATATATAATTAAGTGAAGTTTATAAAAGCTCTATCAGCTGCATAAATGATCTCATTATAGTGTGAGCATTAATATAAATAAGCAAGTGTCTAAATAAGACAATATGAATATATTATTAGTGGATAGTGTGAATAATATTGAAAAAACTTCTTACTCATGTAAGATATATATAAATATAATCTACTCCATAAATTTCTAACGTACTGTACTTATTTTGACGTTACCAACATGACAAATAGAATTAATGAAGAGTACCATTTCCCGGCATTTTTGTCGTTTGTGTGAAGAATTTTCATTTTAAAGTTGAGCGTCTTCTGTGGTGTTGCGTTAGTTTTTAGGTTCATAGTGTTATATATATTTAATGCCATGAACACAGTAAGCAATTTAAAAGAATATGGAAGTGCGTACCCTGTTCGCATACCTTCTTCTATACCACGACAAAAATTTGAATGTAATTCCAACAATGTAAGAATGTTAATATTATATGTTTGTTAAATGTTTAAATTTATTTTGTTAATAGTTTAATAAATATCCACAAATTTATATACATTGCGAATTTGCTAATGTTTCATCAGCGAATTTGAGCGGCTATCGCAGCGTGTTGGTGCCTGTGCACGAAGGCGTCGTCAAACGCATTGTGCGCACATTTTTCGAAAATGGCTTCAGAGTCGCACTACAAGAAGCAACCAGTCCAGAAACTATAGAATTTAATCCTAATGTTGCGAAGGTAGCACAATATATATGTGATGCGTTAGACGCTGTTAATAGATATAAGCAAAAAATATTTCCTCATAAGCGGCGGCAGTTGAGTGTGAATGATATTGTAAACTTCACGGAAACAAGGTATAAGTTTACAACATAAATAAAAATTAAGTTTTATTGAAATATTTATTATAGAGACTGGTGTCATGCGAATATACGTTGCATAGCCTGGCATCCGAATTGCTTCAAAATAGCTGTGGCAGGTGGTGACGATTCTGTGAGAATATACACTGAAAGTTACGCTGAAATACCAGTTTTAAAGGTGATTATAAATTTATGAGTGTGTTGGACGCATGCTATGTTATACTATTTTCTAACTCCCTTTTTTAATGTTATAGACGCATTATCAAAAAAGTGTTACGTCAATAGCGTGGCGACCATTTACAACTTCGGAACTAGCAGTTGGCTGCGATAGAGGTATATGTCTCTGGACCGTAGAAAGCAACGTGAATATAACACGTGCCACCTCCCAAGCCACACTACTGCAACAGTGAGCGTTACCAAAAATTTAATTAATAAAGATATTTAATAATTTTGTATTTTTGCTTACAGTCCTAAAAGCAGTCCGATTACTTCAATACAATGGAATTCTGACGGTACACTTTTAGCAGCTTCCTCAATAGGTGATACAGATATATTGATATGGAATATGGATTCAATGCAATGTACTGCTTTAAAGTGTGTTGGGCCAACTTGTTCATTTATAAAATGGTCATCAGGTGACGCTTATCTTTTCGCTGCAACTTCAAGTAATATGTTTCGTGTGTGGTCTACGGAAAAGAAATGGACTGGCGAACGTTGGAATATTGTTTCTGGCACCGTACAATCTGCTTGCTGGTCACCATGCAGTAACTTTTTACTATTTATAACCACGGAAGAACCAATACTATACGAACTACAGTTTTATGAAGAACAAGTTTTTAAGTGTAAGTTTCAATTTCATTTATTACTTTATTGATATTTGGGCAGTAAAATTTTGGTTTGTTTTAAAAAAAAATTTAGTATGAACTTAAATTTTTTATTGTTTTCGTTTGATTTCAATAATGCATAAAAGCAACTGCCAAGAGCAAATTTGGCATGTCCCAGGTGAATTGCAACGTGAGCTCAGTTGCAAGTCGTATATGCAGCCAACAATTTATCTATATCTTTAATATAAAATGTATATATTTTTTTACAATTTTATTAATTATGTATTCTCTTTAGCTGGCGGTACACCTACAGAAGCTGTGCCTGTTATTGATTTATCATCCATTGTTATTGATAATCGCGAAATAGGCGGTCAACCACAAGCGTTGGTTTGGGATCCAAAGGGTTTATACTTAGCTATTATGTTTAAGGATACGAATTGTGTAGCAATATATACAACCTCTTTTAAAACGTTTCAACTGAGAGTATCACCATTGTGTTTTGTAAGTGGTGCTGGCTACGAATATCCTACATGCATAGCGTTTCAAAGTAAAAACAAGAAGAACTCTGAAACTATCTTAAATATTGGTTGGTCCAACGGGAGAATACAGTATGTGCCACTCACCGATAATATTATCTAACAAACGTTCATATATGCGATACAATTAATGTACACAATACACTTTTTATTATTAACATTAAGATTATATATTGTTATTTTTTTTATACATTTAAGATATTTAAATAAAATTTAATGTCTAAAAATGTTGTTTTTTATGTGCAAATAGAAAAATTATTTATTAATTGTTGCAAAAATTTTGATGACTAATGAATTTTGAGAAAATTAATAAATAACCAAGCAAAGTGCTCTGCGGAGTAGTTTAAGGATTGTTAAATTTTGTAAAAAAAAAATTTTGACAAAATTTCTTTAAACATTTGTTAATTTATACTTAAATAACTAAACGTATATACTCTACGACTACATAATAACATATGCAATGGCATAATGACAAAAGATACAATAATTAGCTTAAGGTAAATCACATTCACACAAGGATCACAAAATATAGACTACGATTAAAGAAATAAATTTAGGTCCACTGTTTCCATTTTTAATTCAAATGTTGATTTTTCAATGTTAGATATCACCAAAGAAGTAACCCAATGCCGTTGCAGCTTTGATACGCACGAAGTGGTTTTCATCCTTCAGCAGAATGGCAATTTTATTACCAACTGATTCTGTTTGCGCATTCCGTTCTGTTAAGAAATTGTGCAATATACCTAAAATAAAATGAAAAAGACAGTTTCATTATTTAATTATATAATATATATAATTTAATTTTTAGAAAGTATAAATGATTGCATTAAGTATTAAACTGTTAACAAAATTTTAGGTATAAACACATTGACACTCACACCTAAGCGTCATGACTTTACTAAATTGTAGCCAGATGAGATGTACCTATATAGCACGAGACATCAAAGGAATTACAATCTATCATAAGGTTTACGTGTATTTCCAAAATAGTGACCATAACGCTGAGTTCAATCTCTTTCAAACTTAGATAGCCAAAAATTGGTGTTAATAACTGTCCATTGGGGTATGCTAATATTTACAGACACTATATTCTTTCATTAAGCTCTAATAATAACTTTCATGTTCTCTTTTTCTCTCTTCGCAATCTTTTAGTTTCACTGAGGAAAGTGAAAAATTCAAGCTGGAGTGACCTATTCGGGCACAATGATCAACTGACAGAGTCTCTTGATTTTATGGTGCTTTAAAATTAAGAAAAAAAAAAACTCTGTATAATAACTGCAATCTTGTGATGTAATTCTACCATTTAATATCGTTTTTCGTGTAATATTAAGATATATATAGTAGTTTCTCTCTAACTCAACGGAGTGAGCATTCAGTCTTTAAACTTTATTTCATTTAATTTTTTTAACTGATGAGGTTTATAACGTCACAGTTTAGGAACCAACCATATAAAGTACAATTTAAAATATAAATATATATTACCTATAACTATTGCCGCACTGCCACGTACTTCAGGCCATTGGCTACGTAATTTTGGTATGCACGAATCAATGAAATCTTGTATATGCTCGGGTAATTCTATAGCCTATTAAGTTACATATTAGTATATATATTAAACTCATTATGTATATTGTTACTTACAATTAATTTAACAAAGTCTAATACAAATACACTATAGTTAAGTTGCCCGTGATCAATTAAATGCTTCTGTGCCATATCATTGACTTTGGTGGAATTGAGCAGGCCACAAACTTTACGTAGAGTACCTTTGCACGCCTTTATAAATATAAGCATTAAATAAAACACTATATAGTAATATAAATATAAAACTTACTCTTATGATCGTCGCCTCTCCCTCACTTAAATGCAAAAGTAAAGGAAAGAAATTGGCGAACAATTGCTCTCGTAAAGCTTCTGTCGAGGAATTGGGCGATACGCTACCGTCATTTAATGACATTTTAGACTCACAGAGATCACCAAAAAGTATAACGGCTGCCTCACGTATTTCAATGGAATAGCTACCAAAGAAAGGACGTATACGTATCGCAAGAGAAACATGAAACGATTCCACACGATCACTGGGTAAAGCCTGCAATATACGTGAAAGTCCACGCATGCTCTCCAATGGTATATTGATTAGACAATCACTAAAAATACATAATATGGCTATTTAGTATATATAAAAAATTATAGAGTGCATCTAACGCCATACCTAACGGTGTCATCTATGCCCTTTAAAAGTGCGGTTATAGCAGTCTCAGTGTGTTTCTCAATATCACGTTCGGTTAGATGTCCTACATAACCCAAACCTTGTATACTTAAGCCGCGTACAGTTGCATTTGGATCACTGAGTGCCGAAGTCAAGTGAGCCATTATAGTTGATGAGATGTCACCACATGGTTTAAGTGGCACTAAACGTGAATACAAGCCCACGGCTGCCACACGTTGTCCATCGTATGGTGATGAGACATATTTACTTAATGCATTGACCACCTGCTTCATAGCGCTAGAAGATACTTCCAATTGATTAACTAAACCTATAGCCATTGGAGTTAGTAATTCAATATAATTGGTTAAATCAGCGCTGGAACCAAGTTTTGTGTGTACTGTTAGAACTGTCGAGATTTGTTCCATACCCAGATTGTTTAGAAATGATTCAAATGTATCCAAAACAATTTGGCATGGATTTAGTTTTACGGAATCTTTATTGGGTACAAAACCGAATTTTGATTTTGTTGTATTGGTTGTGGCATTTGTATGCGATGAAGTTGTATTTGTTGGTGAAATACTGCGCTGACCTGTATGCATTGGTGGTGCAAGGTTTGTATAAGCAGCTAATGATGTGAGTAACATGGTAAATAGTTCCGGAAACTTTTTATTGAGTTCCTGATGAGAAAAAGATAATATTTTAGTTCTATAATTAAATTTTAAAATAAAATCATTGTTGATTACCTCCTTAATTTCTTTGCAAGGCAACATTTCTCTCAGTGCACAGAATATGGCAAATGGTTGCACGCTGGCAATTTTTTGACGTTCCGTTGGTGCTTCATTGGATTCGAAGAAGCAAGAGGATGTGAGTATTTGCAGAAAATCGTCAATAATTATACTAGTAAGTTCTGTATCAGAGCAGAGTAAATGCCAATATTCAATTATGTTCCTAAAAAAAAAAATCAAAAAGTGATTAGAAATAGAAATTATAGATATAGTTATTGGCAATTATTTAAATATTAAACTCATATAGTCTCATGATTTATTTTTTTATAGAGAATACTTACTCTTCGTAGGGCAAATGTTGCTGTAGCATTTCTGCACAAACCAATTTCGGATGATGTTTGGTTAGGGCTACTAGTGCTTTAAGAACGCCTGACTTCGCACGATTCACTTCACAGTTTTGTAAAGCCTGAAATTTGAATTTTAATTGTATTTACTAAATATTTAAAATAAATATTTATATATAGATTTATATATATTTAGTAAAAATGTACGTAATGATCATTGAGACTTTATATTATTTACTTTGAAACACAATTTCTTGGTTACCAATTATTAATCTCGCTTAACAATCGCTTTTGATTAATTTACTTACCGCTAAACAGTCTTTAACTATATCAGGTATCGCATAGAACAAGTCAGAACCCTTTTGTTGTACAAAGAACTTAAGAACTACAGAAGCTCCAATTGATGAACTTTGTTCCGGATCGCGTAAGCCACGTAAAAGAGTTTGACTGTAATAAAATCAAAAGATATTTTATCGTAAAATAATAATATTTTAGAATCACAAACCAAAATTGTAAATACTGAAAATTTGAAATACGCATAGCTATAGTTTTTGCTATATCTCCAGCCAAATTATATATCAATTTTGGATCATCGGTAATGATTTTCTCCTTAATAAGCTCAATCTCTTTTAGCCACGGACTTTCACTATCAGCAATCGTAAGAGTTTCGTATATACAAGATATTTCCAATGTTTTCTGTAATATGTCAACTGAAACCTGTCTAACAGTGCCATTTGAATCTATGCAACGTGGCACAATTTTGCCAAGCATTAGTCCAGTTTGATTAAATTTAGAAGGTGCTTCGCAGCCAATCTTCATGGATTTTATATAAACATCTAAAGTATGGTTAAAAACATGGCTAGAACAAATGCGTACTTCGGAGTTTTTATCCCTTGTCCATGTTTCCAATATAAGTATAATTAAATCCAACGTAGCAGGGGATGGATCCATTTCAATAATAACTTTAACAAGTGCATTTAATTCAGGTAATGATTCGTTCAAATGCTTCGCTAGAAAACTATTCCGTTCATCTTCCTCCTGAGAATCGAATTTCATCTTCAAATTTTGTGCACATGAGAAAAAGTTCTTGCAGGCAATTTCGAATATAACACCACCATCAACTGATTCCGTATTATCATCGCCACCTAAGCAATATATTTATATTTTAGTTGTAAAGAACTTCCTATAATAAAAAAAGTTGCACTTACCTATGCGTATAAAGTCCGTGCCCAATTTGAGTATTGTGGGTAGCAATGGTAAATCATCGAATGGGGCCTCGATTGGTATACTGAAAACGGCTTCCATTATTTGTTTCCGATATTTTAATGGTTCAGTGAGTTCTTCTTTGATGGCGATAATTTGATTGCATGTGCTTAACAGTGTCTTCAGTATAGCTGACATGAGTACCTGATCCTTTGTACCAGTAAGTTGTGCAATTAAAAAATTTAAGATGGTATCATCCAAATTCAATAGGCTCAACAATGGATCAGTTTCATCCATTATATGACCAAACGCTTTTATAACTAGCAAATTCGTTTTATAATTTTCCAATTCCTTGTGTGTATCTTTGATGAAATGCAAATTGCTAAAGAAACCAGTGGAGTGTTTGCGTCCGCCTATATGTGCTAATTCAGCAAGCTTTTTGATGAGATGCTGCAGGTGCACACGTGAAATATAGCCGAGCGCAAGTGCACAGGGCGTAATCTTTTCTTCGTACTCAGTATGCTTAGTATGCTTATCCAGTTTCTCTTGTTTAGCCGAGGTTATGATTAATTCTATTTTCGAGTGTATAGCTTGTACATCAGTCACGGAGCATAATCCTAAACCAATGCACTTGATTAGCATACCACGTTCAGCACTTAGATTTGGTATAACGAATTCATTGTTTGGTATCGTAATTGGGTACATAAGTAAATGGTCTGCCATTTTGTTAACCATGCG